GGGGGGGAAACGAATAGAGCAAACCACACCAGAGCACCCGCCAACCACCCACAGCACTGACCTGAAACGTTCAACACCCAAGCTACAACTGTCTCATCACAAAGCACAAGACATCATCATCATCATCGTCGTCATCATCACCATCATCGTCATCATTGTCGTCCTGGTTATCTACAGTCCACACACATGAAAACACCACACACGTACAGACGTGAAGCACTAGGTCTACACCGCCCTCGATCCTTCCTCGCTGCGAATGTCTCAATCCAATCTTTGTTTGTTGTAGTCAGAGTTGTACGGTACCTGCAACACAATCAGGTCATATAAGAGTAGCAGATGTCTGAAGTTCTACCAAACACTGAACAAAGCGACAGTCTTTTCTGGAAACGTGTGTGTCACAATCGAAAACGTCTGTGAGCAAAGATCACATGCAAAGTGACTGTCTCTCCTGGAAACTTGTGTATACCACAACCTAAAACACTTCAGATCAAAGACATCGTGCAAAGTCACTGTCGGTCCTGGAAACTTGTACGCATGTACAAATGTATACCACAATCTAAAGCACCTCAGATCAAAGTCCACGTTCAGACCGACCGTCTCTCCAGGACAATGATGCTACAGTCAACCTTTTCCCACCCAGACTCCGTCAAGTTGAATGACCTCCCTCACAATGGCACTGTTGTCAACAACAAAACCACCAAAAAACAACACACACAAAAAAACTAAACGAATTCCACTTTGAACGAGGAAGCTGGCGAGGGCGGATGTGAACAGATGATCAGAAGGGTTCACTGATGACGACACAGCTCCTCAGAACGAGTCACGTCACAGATTGAAGAATTGTGATAACCGTCACTGGGGGGAAAGTCGTGCCACTGTCAACTACACATGAATTGCAAACAAAACTACAGGACCTAGAAATGAAATCTAGGTTGTTTTTTTAAGTAAGTGTTTTTGACGCCCCTTTGTAACAGTGTGTGGCTGTATGCTGTATGCCCGACTCCAGAACTTCTGGGAGAAAATTGCAGAATTCTGAGGACTGCTCTGGATGTCTGGGAGCCTCGTGAGGCAGTGGGCAGACGTGTGTGGAGACTACGGCACTGAGTGGGGAGACTACGGCACGGAGCGGGCGGTGAGAAACTGACCAGTTGACCAGTGTCCACTGCCTGGGACAACAAAGCGACACCGCTGGCCGCTCGGTGCTTTCTGAAGCGAGGACAACAACAACTGTGCGCCGTCGTGGTCAAATCACCCGCTCGTCAATTTTTGGGCAAATGGAGTCATGATATGACCTTGGAACGTGTTTGTCTGTCTTGCTTTTGAAGAGAAAATGCCAATCTGTCCAGAACAGAAGCCAAGATATTGGCGACAGAGGGAGGTGGGGGTGGCCTGGTGTCAGAGGTAACATTAGCGAGAAAATGGCCGCCAAAGTTTGGTGACTTCCACAGCTTGAGGTCCCAGAATATCGCAGATTTACTGGGTTTTTTGGTCCTGAGATCAACGGTTTTCACAGTGAGTAAAATCCACATGGAAATGTGTTTTTAAAAAGAACATGAAAGGTGTTTTTAAAAAGAACATGAAAGGTGCCCCCCCCCCAACCTCAAAAAAACAAACAGCCTCACCTTAAGAAAAAAGGTGAACATAGCCCAGCAGTCGGGAACATGCCGATTTCTCCCCCAGCTGTCGGGAACATGCCGATTTCTCCCCCAGCTGTCGGGAACATG